GTCATGTAAAGTTATTATCTAATTATAGGTCAGCTGAAATGGGCGGCGAAGCCGCCCACATGATCATGTCCTAGTTTTATCACTAAAATAAGGTACTCTCCATAATATTGGTATAATAATTCTACACCATCGACGATTTACAAGAAGGCATGAAAATAAACTTTTAAAATAAGTTCGATCATTAGATCGAATATTATTAAATATTTTAAAAAGGCATTCGTTCGGTAACATTATCATTTTGGTAAACGGTAAAAAATCGGATTTTACTTCCGAAATATAACCAATGTCGCAATGTTGTGTAACGTTGTAATCTAACAACAGTAAAACGGTGACATTTTATATGTATGCAGCATTATTATGCCAAAATTTTAAACTTTGTGAATATATATTTTTTATGTTCATAATCGATTCATTTCATCTTTTACAATAAATTTAAAAAAAAGATTCATACGAACTTCTGATAAGCATAAAAAAATATAAAGCTAGTGACAAGTTATTAATTTCAGGATTTATCATTTGTGGCAAAATATTTTTACAAAATCTTTTTTATGTGCTTTAAAATTTATTAAACATAAAAAGAAAGACATTTAATATCTAACGAATTATAACCAATTTTTTTTTTAATGATCTATGTTTTTGCTGGATGGTTTTTTCCTTATTTGTTATGCCGTGTAACTTTTTTGCCTGCTTTGCTTGTGTTTGTGTGATACTGTTTGCTATTTATGTTTATGTCTAATTGTTTGTACGATCGACGTGCATTATTTCATTAAACCTAGCTGCCGCACAAAAAATGCGCGGTTAATCCTCGATTTTGATTGGCCAACGGCGACGATCAAAAATTTAGGCCAAAATTACTCAAAATTTTACTAATGAAATCGCGGCCGCCCATTAAGTGAAAAATGTTCCTGGGCTAATTTTACCATTGCGCGGGCCTACTTCTCTAAAAATTTCCATTTTAGGAATGAAAAATTTAAAAAGTTAATTCCGGCCAAAATTATGTAATGCGGGCCCAATCCGCGAAAATTTTGTGCGGCAGCTAGGTTCATTCTTGTTATTTAATGGGTATCGGTGAATACAGAGTATTTCATAGGTTAATAGTAAACCACATGGCCTTCGGCCACGTGGTTTTACTATTAACCTATGAAATACCTGTATTCACCAATAACCCATTAAATAACAGGATTATCCCATGAGTATGACGTAACAATCCGTGCGATTATGTAATTCATTAAACTTCCAGGTTCGTAATTTATTAAACTTCCATGTTAGTAATTTTTTTTTTTACTATAAATAAAAATTTCTTTCTTATTTTAGTAATCAGATCAATTTTTTTCTTATCGTTATCAATTTTCAATCTTCTTTTTTTAAAAAAAATGATTACAAGAAACAGTAATGTCGCACCAACCAAAGCAGAAGTTCTGGAATTACAAGGGCTCTCACGTGTGGAGAATACGGATAAGTGTACCTTCAAGTGGCTACGTTCTGTTGACAGATTCCGGAAGACCGTAAAATATAAAAAAAGGATTAAAGAAATTGAGTCACTAACGGAATTAGATGACTTTTTGTACAAGTTTCTTACTTGGTTAAAGCGAATAGAGGGAAAAGATTACAAGGCCAAAAGTATTCATAACTGCTATGCTTCCGTGGCCTGGTACCTAAAAGAACATAGCGAGATTAAACCCTGTAAATTGTGCGATTTGTATCATTTCGGCAAGGCATTGAGAACTCTTGACGGTAAAATGAAAAAGTTGCAAAATGAAGGTCTGGGGGAAATGGATCAAGCCTCACAGTTAACTGCAGATGAGATTTTTCAAATTCTCAATCATGAAACTATGCAAGTTGATACCAACGAAGGTCTGACATGAAGAGTTTTCTTTTGGTTGTCGCTTCTTTGTAGTCTTCGCGGTGGCAACGCTAAAAGAATTAAGTTTAAGGATATTTCTCATCGTGACAATGGTGGGCTTTTCCTTACATTTAACTATAAAAAGAACAATCAGTGTGGAGCATTGAAACGCAACAAATATGAAAAAAGTTCCACACGAAAGATCCCAATTCCTTCTGATCAAGTGAATAATTGCTTTAAACCTATTGAAAATACCTTGTACTTGATATCGTTTCATCCTGATGATGCTTGTGAATCTTTTTTTTTAGAAACAACACGGGCTGCAAAGGGTTTAAAGTGCTTGTTTTTTGTTTGTTTTGCTTATAATTCGTTATTAACAATTTTTTTTTTTTTATTTGTAGAGAAAACTAAGGACATTTGGTTTAAGAAAATGTGCATAGAAACAAACAAATTAAACACAATGATATCAAAAATAGCAGATCTTACTGGCATCAACCTTGACAATGGGCGTAAGGTCTGTAATCATTCATTACGACGTACTGCGATTCAACAGCTAAAGGATTTAGATGTCCCTGAGGATGAATGTATGGTATTTTCTAGTCACCGTAGTAGGGAAGAGATTCGAGTCTACAACAGCCCAAATAACGCGCAAAGACTTCGGAATACATCGATGCTAATTCCACTAGATTACGATGATATTCCATATGAAGAGTTTGACTATTTTCCTGGAGACGCCCAAAATTATATGAGTTTTGAGGCAGATGATTATGATGAAGGCTTGTATTAAAAATAATTTTATTACATGCAGTATTTTTTTTTTCTTTTTTTACAATGAATAACTACCTACTGTACTAATTTCCAGATCACAAATTGTCGGAACCATCCCAAAGACTATCGTTGGAACCATCTGAAAGATTTTCGCTGGAACCATCTCAAAGATCTTTGTCAGAACTATCTTCATTGGAACCATCCGAAAGATCTTTGTTGGAACCATCCGAAAGATCATCACCTGAACTATCCGAAAGACCATTATCTGAACTATCCCAAAGGTCATCACAAAGACTATTTCAAAAATCAGCCAAAAAACCATCCAAAGGACTATCGCATAGATTAAAGTCTACACTATACGCACTATTTAAACCACCTTACAAGATTTCAAATGATCAACCTACTCATATTCCTCCTAAAATTAGAAAATCATCATCAGCTCAAGCAATACCAGCGGCTCGAGCAAGATCATCAACTCAAGCAAGACCACCGTTAAACGATCTTTCAAATCGTTTCTCACCTTTAACTTACCAAGACATTAAGGATATTAACAATAATGATAAAGAAATTAAAGAAATTCATTATCATTTTCATTAATGTATATTTTTTTATTTAAAAATAATTACAAAAAAATACTATTATTAATAAAAATAAGTGTTTTTATATACATTTAATAAAGTATTTTTGACAAGATTATTCACATCGGTCTATATGAATCATGTGATTTTCATATAGACCGATGAAATAACCTTGTCAAAAAAGCACGGGTTGTTACATAGTACCCATGGGATAAAATCATTAATTCCTTCTAATTCTGTAAAAGGAAATTTTCGTGTACCATTTATATAGTTACTTAGATACTTCGATGTTTTGATACTAATACGATTCGTTTCTGATATGATTCAGATGCTGATACGGTTCAAGAGCATGTAAGCTGCCATCACGACATTTCGTATGTGTACTATTTTAAATTAATGCAAAAAAATGTATTTTCTTGTAATTTTTGAATGTTTTGGTCTTAATTTGTACTTTTGTTTTTTGTTTCTTTGGAATTACACGCTTTTTTTTCCTGGATTTTTTGCCTGTTTTGATTAATTGATAGCCGATGATCATCAAAGAACATGGAAAAAGGTAAAAGAACTACAACGAAAGAATCGTGAACTCAGCCCTCTCAGCCTCTGACCAACAAAAATTTGCACGTCTGAAATCTGTGACAGGTTATGTCGATCACCAAATCGAAAGAGCGTGCAGATTAGAATTAAGCACAGTC